TTTACTCAGAACATCCATACTTGGCTGTAGGTGGATATGATTGAAAAAAACTTCAGGACATAATGCTCACCCTTACTACTGTGGTATTTTCTATTGTCATTTATTTAAAGTGCTGCCTAATAAGGTTAAAAAGAAAAAGTGCTGGTTATAGCTTTAGAAATGGTTTCCACAGCTTACTAATGGGGCACAGCCTGTAGTTTGAAAACCATTGACCTCGTGGTTAAGAGCTCAGGGTCTGGAGGAGCCAGCCCGTTTGAATCCTGACTTAGCCACTTCTGAGCCAAGTAGTCCCTGGCTGGGCCATGTTACCTCTCCAAGCCCCGGTTTCCTCATCTTCATTAGTGGTACCTGCCTCCTGGGCTGGTTGTGAAGTAAATGAGATGAGTGTGTGCACTTCTGGCAAATGATTTATTCACTGCTACTGCTGTGACAGTGCTGGGGTGCGTGGGGTGGTGGTGAACAGAACCTATCACAGGAAGCCAGAGGGTAATGACTGCTAGTTGGGAGCTGAAGGATGAGTCGGACTCATGTGACTTCTGTGATCAGGAAAGGAAAACCCAGAAATACTGGCAAGCAGGCTGGGAAGTAAAGTACAGGGGTGCAGAGAAAATTAGGAATTCTAAAGCATACACAATGTGTATAGAACATTTTGTTTTTCAGAAGTTTTTAAAAACCACCCCTCCTGTTATACCTGCATGGGTCAATATGGGGGTCCACATGTGACTGTTGATCTTTAAATTAATTAAAGTTAAATAAAATTCAGTTTCTCAAAAGCCACATTGCTGGTGGCTACCATATTAGCACAAATATAGAACAGTTCCATCCTTGCAGAAAGTTCTATTGGACAGCGCTTCATTATACCCTATAAAAGTCTTGTGAAGGAAGTACATAGGGCATGGATTTTCCTTTTATTTCTTAATTTTTTAATTCTTATTTTTTAATCCTTACTGGAGGATGTGCTTATTGATTTTAGAGGAGAAGGGGAGGGGGGAGAGTATTGATTGCCTTCCTTACATGTCCCGACTAGGAATTGAACCCACAACCTAGGTGTGTGTCCTGACCAGGAACCAAACCCACAGTCTTTCGGTATACAGGACAAGGGAGGCTCCACCCAACTGAGCCACATGGGCCAGGGCAGAATTTTCCTTGTAAATTGTATTCATTGTTTCAGTATTATTCCAAAAATTAAAACTAATGACCCCTTCACTTTCACAGCAACTATTTACATTTTCCTATGGCCTCTTTTGATCTTTAGCCAAAGAAATCACAGTTTCTAATGGTTGCAGTCACAGTGTTTATATCATTGCTTTTTCTTTTTGTGATGCAGTGTTTTATTTGGGAGGGACACATTTGTGTATTTTTATATGCTTTGTATCTTGTAAAGCTGTGTGTTGGAGGTGGGAACATTCTGATTAAGTTGGAAAACTTTGTCCCCTTTTTATTGAATTGGGGTGACACTGGTTAACAAAATTATATAGGGTTCAGGTACACAATTCCACAACACATCATCCGTACACTGTATTGTGTGTTCACTTCCCCAAGTCAAATTTTCTTCCATCACCATTTTTGTTTTCTTTTTTCAATTAATGTTATTTTGCAAAGACTTTCCCCTGACCTGAAACACAACATTTATATTTGCCTTTTTAGTGAAGGGGGAATAGGCCATGATGTGCCATAACTGGGTTAACTATTTTGTCATTGTTGGACACTTTAGTTGCTTCCTGTTTTTCAGTGTTATGACTAGCACTGCCATGAACTTTTATATACCTGAAGCCTTTTCTTTTGAATTGTTTCCTTACTGTAAATTCTAGGAAGTGAGTTATTCATTCAAAGGATATAATCACTTTTATAGCTCTTGTTATATATTGCCTAATTGCCATGATTAAAAAAGAAAAGAAGCCTAAATGCATTGTAGCTTTGAATAGATATTGTTGTTTGGCTTATGAGGACATCCATTCTCCAGGAGGTCACGAGATGGGCCCAAAGTGTAGCTGATTGCTGATGGAGTCAAAGTTTGTGCCGGTGATTCCTGATTCCTGGCCCCATGTTTTATTGTGCAACAATTATTCATAACAGTGTTGTTAGTAGCACTAATAAATCTAAATATCAATAAGCCAAGTAGGCTTGTTACAGCCTTAAGAGTAAAGCTTGAGGCTGAAGGCATTTTTGTTTTCCTCCAAAAGTTTATTTAGAAAGTCACAGAGGTAGAAGAAGTGAGCCGCAGAAGAAATGGGCTCAGGAAACAAGTCACAGAGGTAGAAGAAGGGCCCTTGGAGCTTCGGGGAGAGAGGCAAGGAAAACAGGCCTGGGGAAGGGGGTGAGGAAAGGCGAGGGGAGGGGAGAGCTGCTGAAGGCATTTGAAAAACGTGTGTGTATATGGTGCAACTGAAGAAATGAGAGACCTTTCCCGCACCTTGTTATTGACAGGTCATAGGATACAGAGCCCTGTGGGGCTGTGCGGCTCCTCTGGTGAGGCTGTTCTCCTGGCTGCCTTGGAGTTCACTTCAGGGCCAGTTTATGAGCCACCCCCAAAAATCTGCCTGGTGTCTTGGTGTCATGCCTTGCATTTGACCAAACATGGTATTCCTGAGCTTGCGGCCCCACCTGATTCACCACACTTGGGTCCAGGTGACGTTGGGTTCTTTCCAGAAATTGGATCCTTCCTGGGGGGATGAAGACCAGCAAGCTCTGGGGACTTTGGGGAAAGGGGGACCTCAGGCTTTGAAGACTATTCCCAAAGAAGACAAGCAGTGTGAGAAGGCGCCATCTTGTTGGCACAGGCATGAGCCTTCCTCGGGGACCAGGTTGAGAGAGACAGTGTACATTTGCACCCAAGCCTGTTTAGCTAGAAGTCATTTTTGTTATTCTGTAGTCACTCCTCCATGTTGGAAAAGTATTGCGAAGCAGTGAAACTGTAGAGCCAGAGTGGAGGAAGGTCTTGGGCAGTCTCTAGCCATAGCTATGCTGTGGCAATGCAGTGCAGGCCACCAGTATAATTGCAAGTTTTCTAGTAGCTACATTTAAAATGTAAAATGAAACATAAAATTATTTTGTATTGTGGTCAAATATACATAACATAAAAGTTACTATTTTAACTATTTGTAGGTGTACAATTCAGTGGCATTCACAATATTGTGTAACCCTCACCACTGTCTATTTTCAGAGCTTTTTCATCATGCCAGACTGAAACTATACCCATTAAACAATAATCCCCCACTCCCCTCCTTTAGCCCCTGGTTACTTATGTTCTAGTTTGTGTCTCTCTACCTTCTGTGTCTGACTTATTTCACCTGGCATAATGTTAGGGTTCATTCATGTGTCAGAATACTGTTCCTCTTATAGCTGAACGCCCTTCCTTTGTATGTAATTGCCACATCTTGTTCATTGTTTCATGTGTTGGTAGACTCCTGACTGTCTCCATCTTTTGAATATTATGAATAATGCAGCTGTGAACATTGATATACAAATATCTGGTTGAGTCCCTGCTTTCAGTTCTTTTGGGTATATACCTAAGAGGGGAATTGCTGGATCTTATGGTAATTCTGTTTAACTTTCTGAGACCACCAAACTTTTCCAATTTGTCTTTTCACTGTCTTAATAATGTCTTCTGATGCACAAAAGATTTTTAATTCTTATGAAGCCCATTTTATTTTTTTCTTTTGCTGCCTGTGCTTTTGGTGTCACGTCCAGTGTCACAAAAAGTTTCCCCCATGTTTTCTTCCATAAGTTTTATAATTTTAGCTCTTAAGTTTAGATCTTTGATCCATTTTGAGTTGATTTTTATATATAGTGTAAGGTAGGGGTCCAGCTTTATTCTTTCACATGTGGATATCCAGTTTTGCCAGCACTATTTGTTGAAAAGATTGCCCTTCCCCACTGAATGGTCTTGCAACCCTTGTTCAGAAATGAATTGGCTGTATATGTGAGGATTTATTTCTGGGAGCTGTATCCTATTCCACTGGCCTAGATTCTTATACCAGCACCACATTGTTTTGATTATTGTAGCTTTGTAATAAGATTTGAAATCAGAAAGTGAATCCTCTGACTTTGTTCTTTTCAAAATAAGGTGAAATTAATAATGTAAATAATTTAACCCAATATATCACTTCAACATGTAATCAAATAACACGTTATTAATGAGATAATTTACATTCTTATGTTCATACTATCTTCTAAATTGATTGTGTAGTTAACAGCCATTCTCAGCTTGGACTAGCTGTATTTCAACTCTCAATAGCACATGTGACTCTTGGTCACCATGTTAGACAGCTCATATTTCACAGAAAATTGCATTGTGGCAGATCTCTGAAAACGCAAAGGACTTTGGAGTCAGGTGGGCCTGCTTCCAAAGTAATTTTGCCCCTTTTTTGTTGAGATGGGCAGAAGGAAGCCACTTGTGAGTGCTGTGGTAGAGGGGGAGTAGTTCAGTCATACCAGGGTAGGAGGGGGGGCAATAAGAAAGACACGCTGGGGAGGTAGCACTTGAGCTCAGCCTTGGAGGTAGAGTGGGGGGCTTTGCCAGGCAGCCAAAACAGGAAAGGGCATTCCTGGCAGATTGTGCAGCTTGGGTAGAGGTCCAGGACTGTGGAAGAGCCCAGTGCTCTTGGAGAATTACAGGCAGTTCTTTCAGCTTGACCAGGGTATTAGGATTGGGGGGCCCTGCTAAAAGGAGAGGCCAGAGGTGGGCTGAAGCCGGACCTTCCACCACTGCCCCTGCCATCCATGTCCCCAGCATCTCTTACTGGGTTACTGGCAATAGCCTCCTCACTGGTCTCCGTGTGCACTCTGCACCTCTCCTTCCCCCATTAGTGTAAGTTAAGCCATGTCACTTCTCTGCTCAAAGCCCTTCTGTGGCTTTACATGTTACTCAATCAAATTGAAATCGTGAGGGTCCTGCAAGGTCAGCCTCCACCTTACCTCTGTGACCTTACCTCTTTCCTCTCTCCCTCCTGTGCCCCTCTCTCTGGCATATCCCTGCCCCAGGGCCTCTACACTGCTTTTGTCTCTGCCTGGAATGTGTTCCCTGCGATGTTCTGGTGGCTCCCTCTAGCACTTCATATCTCTGCCACTTTATCCCCCTCGCTGCTTCAGAGAGCACTTCCTGTCACCCTGTACAAAATAAAATGATGCCCTTCTTACGTTTTTTCAGAACAGTTGTAAATAGCTGGCGTTCCCATCGGGATGTGTTCTTTGCCTGTCTCCTGAGGTGTAGGCTCCAAGAGAACGGGTGTGTCTGTTCTGCTCACGCTTCAGTGCTCGGTGTGCAATAAGCATTTGTTGAATGAATAAATGAACACACGAGAGACCTGTAACCCAGCAGTCCCTCAGTAAATGTGTGTTGCTTTGAGACTTTTGTTGAAGTGTTTGCATTTACTTATTCATTTTCCCCTAACTTTATAATTGGAAAAATTTCAAACATACCGAAAAATTGAAAGAATGGTTCAGTGACTATCCATGTATCTGCCACCTGGATTCAAGAATTGTTAAGACCTCACCACAATTGCTTTATATATTCCTACGTGTATGTGTGTGTATTGCACAGTGGGACAATATAAAAGTCAGCTGTAGAAAATGACACTTATCTTTTGACTTTAGAAGTTGACTCTGGAGTGTGGTGAGTCAGAGGAGACCTCGGGCAGCAGGCCGCTGAGGCCATGGCCTCCGACCTGGACTTCTCACCTCCTGAGGTGCCTGAGCCCACCTTCCTGGAGAACCTGCTACGGTATGGACTCTTCCTGGGGGCCATCTTCCAGCTCATCTGTGTGCTGGCCATCATCATTCCTGTTCCCAAGTCCTACGAGGCGGTGAGTCCTTCTCTGTGACCCTCAGCTCCTCGGGTTGGGTTCTGGGTACTAAAAATATATATCACAGCAACAAAATCAGCAGGGACTGTGCTGGGCTTTGTTGATACAGTGTGTCTCCAACTTCCCGCCTGGTGGCATTGAGCCATGTGATTGATACTGTATTTATTCACACAGGTGTTAAGCAGATTTTTATGTAGCGCCTACTGCATGTCACACTGTGCTGAAAGATGTGGTGTCTGCCCTCAGGGAGCTGCTGGTCCTTGGGGGAAGGGCAGATGTGAAGCATACATGTTTCCTGAGAAGTACAGGGTACTGTGAGAGTGTATGAAAAGGGGGGACTGGGAGGCTGGGCTCTTTCTCCCCCCTCCTTCCTGAGGGAGAGGGAACTGCATGTGCAGTAAAGGAGCAGCTAGTTCAGGGACTGAGTGAAGGTGATGGTGGCTGGAGCACAGAGGGCGCATGAGAGGTGCAGCTAGGGGAGTCAGCAAGGCCAGAGGAAACTCAGAAAGGGGTGCCCTTATTGATATCTGAGGTTCTTTGTCACCCAGTGGGTTGAGCTCTTTTGAGGCAAGGAGTTGACAGTATGCCTCCATTCCTCCTTTCCTCACCTACTTTGCCATTTAGAGATTAATTTGGGACAATAACCTCATCTTTTAAAATAGAAATATAGTACATAAGCTTCATTTTAATTTATCTTGCAGTTTAGGGGAGTGAGGCTCACACAAGTGAGTTGTCTTCATAACTGAAGCATACTGTTTGAGGCTTTTTTTTCAGTTTTCCAATGGATCAGTAACAAAATATAGTACCATTAATTTAACTTCGTATTAGTGCATCACTAGCAAATGGCCCCAGTTATGCAGGGATTCCACTGCCAGCTTTCCTCTGTGTGCCCTCATAATGCAACCTTCTCTCATTCAAACTCCTAAAGAGATGGAGAGAGGACACAGTATTCTGTGCAGAAACAATCTTAAAAAGAAAGGAATAGTCCTAAGACTGCTGAGAGACTGTGCCTAGCAGCTAGCTGAGATTTGGAATTTGGACAGAGAGGGGAAAAGATGGGGGCATTTAACTTGGGGCTAGGGAGCCCTTAGGAAGGAAAGGAGCCTGTGGGAATGGGGAAAGCTTGTGGAACTCCAGGCTGCCGAAGGGCAGGAGGGAGGTACCTGGAAGTAGAGGGTGGCCCGAGGTGGGAAAGTGCAGGACTGGGGGTGGGAGGATCCAGAGAATAATCTTGTTCTTTTTGCCTTGTTGCTTAGGGCAAAATCATCTCTCTTGCTTGGCCTATAGAAAGAAACAAGGTTTATTAGTGGCTTTTGGGTCAGAAGATAATATTTTTGGCTCCAGATGATGGGAAAGCCTTTGAAAAGCAAAAGAATGTCTTTTCTGTTCCAGTAAGCTAATTTTTTTGCAACTAGTTTATGACTTTAGTACTTCAATACTTAGGAGATTATTTGAAAGCTCTTTTGGGGGTAATCAGGGAAGAAAAAAGGAACACATACAAATGCTTCCCACCCCACCCCCTTCCTTTTCATAGCAGGAGCAAGAACCAGTTGGTAAAATCAAAACCAAAGTTCCTGGAATCCTAAGCCAAATGAGAACTTTTCCCCCCTCACTGACACCTCATTAAACTAGGACCCCAGAAAACAAATATTTGTTTGAGCCTGGGCTGCACCCACAGAGATTCTGATTCATTGTAATTTGAAGCGCTGAATCAGTATTTTCTTCCAGTGCTCAGGTGATTCTGTTACGCAGCCACCGGTCTAGTCCTTAGACCATTTCCTGAAGCACAAACCAATTTCGGGAGGACAGGAGGTGTTCAGTTCTACAAAGTATGCAGTGTGATAATAGCAAGACACCAAGTGAGGGGCTGGGAATAGAGACCTGGGAATCAGCATAGCATTATTTCTTGAAACCCTAAGAATGAATTGCTAAGCTTTTCAAGGGAAATCAAAGTTCAGGACAGGCCTGAACTTAAGACATTGCCAAACCACTTGAATCTACTTCTGTGCAGTATAGGTATACTGAGGAGATGGGGTTGCTGCGCCTGAGCAGGATGCAGCTGAGCCTCTGCAGGGGGTGGCACCCCGGGACCTCATCGCTCACCATCTGCTCGCCTCTGCTTCTCTCTCTCTCTACCTTTCACTTCTCTCACCCGGGCCCTGCTTCCTCCATGTCTGTTGCTGTGGTTAAGAAGAAACATGGCCACTAACAGCCCCCAGAGGCCACGTCCTTCAGCTGCAGCATCTGGAGGCTGCCTTCCTGCTTGGTCCCAGTTTCAAAATCCCCAGGGAAGGAGCTGTAGCTGGCCTAGCTTGGGACAGCTGTGGCCAGTGTGGGGGGAGGTTAGGATCCTGTGGCGTGATCTCTAGGGGAGGAGGGGAGGGCCAGTTCTCAGAGGAGCAGGAGTGCTGTGCAGACAAAGCTGGAGTCTCCATTCTTCTTGCTCTCAGGGGCCTTGGCAGAGCAGTGGGCAGAGGACCAGGAGACTGGTCTCCCTGAAAACCACCCAGTGGTTCAAGGAGAGGACGTGGAAACCCAGTCCCCACAGAGACTGGCAGTGACAATAGTTGTGTGATTTAGGAGAAGCTGCTCAGTTTGACGACGATGTCCTGTTCAGGCTGCTGCCCTTCAGAATTTGGTTTCAGTAGAACAGAATTCTCAATGGGGAGTTCCTGAGTTCCTAGGGTGTCCCTAGGTAGGCTTTAGAAGTCTGAGCTCCCTGGAATTGTGCACAAAAATGTGATGTTCTCATTTTCAGGCACATTTTCTGGGAAGATAGTCTACAACTTTTCTCATAGTGGAGTGCCATAGTGATGGAGCCCAACTCCTGGAGTTTCAGGAGTGGATACTAAGGCAGTGGAGGTAGGGAGCCCGTCTCCCCTCCCATCTCAAAAGCCTGCCTGAGCTGATCCCAGGCCTCTTGGACCAGTTTCTACACAGAATGTGGATCCACTCAACCCTCAGCAAGTGGGTGTTGCCTTAGTTCAGCGACTCATGCAGCAGATAGTAATAGTTCATCTGGAAACTAATCATAAACTCTGCTAGTAGTTTAAATGTTGACTGTTCTAATCTCTTTAGATGTTTAGGTCACATCTCCCCAGCTACCAGGTACCTTCACCTCCACTCTGCTATCTTTGGGGATTGCCACAGTCTCTTCTTATATTAATGGGACCCTTAGTTCAGAAACTCAGCTCCAGCAGTTTCTCCAGAAAACTGTACTGGCTCTTAGAACTGGGAATTCCAAGGCCCAGCTGGGTTCAGAGGCTCAAAAGGTCTTCTGGGTTCTGTTTGTCTCTACTCTTTAGAGGCTTTCCTGTAAGTGTTGACTTTATTTGTAGGCCCTTGCCACATGTCAGGAAGATGGCTGCAGCGGCCCCAGCTGCATCCTACTGCTCATGATTTACAAGCAAGAGAGGCCATTTCTCTGCCTCAGCCCGCTTGCTAAACTCATGGAAGGCCTCTGCTTCACATGCTCGCATCTCCCTCACAGGTGGGAAGGAGCAATGGGTACAGTTTCTGCCAGGCTGCACTTAACTGTCCACTCCTGTGGCCACAGGGACTGAGAGGTGCCCCTAGAACCACATGGCATAGAGAAAGGGCAGAGCCCTAAAGGAAAGGGGGTGCTGGGCGGACAAAGACTAGTTGATGCCCAGCATTGTGATCAGTGGAGGGGAACTCACCAGAACTGATGGCAAGAGTGATGGCTTTCAGTGTGGTGCCCATGTGGACTTCACTGTCAGCCAGGAAGCCCTTCAGTGTTTGCAGCCTTGGAACCAGGGTTTGGATGGCACCCTCCTGGAGCAGTGGGGCAGTGGCTGGAAAATTCTGCACAAGGGTCTTGATTTTATACTAGGCTCCCCATTGCCAGTGAAGGCTGCCCTAGTAAATAGTTAACCTGGGCAGGTGTATACCCATTCTTAACACCGTGGGAGACAGGCTTGCAGAACCAACTGTGCAGTCCTGCCCTGTACTTTTTTAAGCTCAGGAGGGGTTTGCAGTTGAATTGACTGCAGGGATTTTTTTACTTGGTGAGTCGTCTCTGAAAGATCGCTGTGTGGTGGGCAGGGTGAAGGTATAAACATGGTCTCGAGATGTGTACCGGCTTGTGGGAGAGATAGTTGGACACACAGGGAGCCACAGACCAGCCGGTGGGAAGGGCTGTGTTCTGAATTGTGTCTAGAATGAGCTCCTATGGCTGTTCTCACTAATCACAGTTCTCCTTGCCTGCCAACCATGTCCTGTACGCTGTGTCTGTGTTTGCCTTGTCGAGCCCACATGGACAGCCTCCCCTCCTCCCTGTTTCAGTTAGTCCTGTTCTCCTCTCAAGGCCAGTGCTGGTTCCATCTCCACAGGGCCTTCTCAGGGCCCTGGCAGAGTGCACAGTGGGGCAGCAGGAGTTTCAGCACTGGTCATATCTGGCCTGGGTGCTGGCCCACCCTCCACTCCGTGCGCCTGTGTGCTGAGCTGTGAAAGGAGGGCACTTAGGCCTGGCCCCCAGAGTTCTTGAGGATCAGGTGCAGTAAGGTGTTTGGGGCCTCCCAAGCTGAGCACAGTGGTTTTCTTTCCTGGACCATTCTAGAGGAAAGCCTGGTTTCAGTTTGCGCAGAATGACACTTTGCCCTGATTTATAGGGCCACGTCCACACTGAGCTGTGTAGCGGAAACCATAGAATTCTGTGCGCTTTCCCCGCCGGGAGGGATTTGATGCATGTGGCACAGATTTGATTGTTTGAAGCTCATGAATAGCAGCAATTTTCTGGCCTCGTAAGCGCTGTGGAGCTTCTTCATTATTGATGAGGCCTCTGCCACAGAGGCCATCCCTGCGGACCCAGAAGCCTGCAGGCAGGAGAGGTTGTCTTTTATTCTCGACAGTGTGATTGTTGAGGAAACTTAAAACTTGCTTCAGAGGAGGAGAGGTGCCCCCAGATTTAGAGGCGGGGCTGTAGCTTTCGGAGTCTGCCCTCCACCTAGCTTGTACCAGCAACATGCAGTTGAAGAGAAATGAAAAGTCAGCCATTCGTTCTGAGTCATTCTTGCCAGCCAAGGACTTGGAGCTCCAGCTCTGTGTGGCTAGGACCCCAGCAGCTGAAGCATGTGTGTAACAGCTGCCATTGCTTTCCTACAGCTTGGGGGGAAGGCAGCTGTGCCCCGTTGGACCAGTCACTAAATCTCCGTGAGCCTCAGTTCCCTCACCTGTAAAATGGAGCTTATAGTGGCTGGCTGGTCAGGGTGATGGGAGGCTCGCTGAGTTGATGTTTGTGAAGCACCCACATGGTGCACATCACTAAGTGTGCGTTCTCTTCTTCATTACCCCAGGGTGCCTGGCACAGAACTGCTTACACTGGGCACAGAGAGATGGGTCATGGACGCTGAGTGCCTGTGCAGAGCATGAAAGGGAGCAGAGTACCTAGGGGATGCTGTCTTGAACAGTGGCCCCATGACAGAGTGGGCTGCAAAGGGAGGTGTGGAATAGCCCTGGAGGCCACGCGTAGGCTCTAGGAATTTGTTTTATACTGAGAGGGAACCAGAGACACTTTTAAAGCAGAAAACAGACATGGTCTCCTGAGACAACAGTTTTAGATTCTGAAAGCAGTGTGGCAGGTGGTGAGGAAAACCTGTGGGAGGCTGATAGAATGAGAGGTAGGCAGGAGACTGCAGAGTCTGATATACAGTAGTGTATATCCAGAGGGGACCGGGTAGGATTGAGAGCCCACTGGAAAGCAGAGTGGACAGGATCTGGGGACAGGTTGGATGTGGGACACCACAGAATGGCGAGAGCTCAGAAATGAAGCGGAGCTTTCTAGCTTGGGTAACTGGGTGGGTGACGATGCCAAAAACTGAGATGGGGCGGGAGGAGGAGGTCTGGGTGAGGAGACAGGGCGTTCAGATGACTCAATGCCTGGAATATGTACACACACCCGCAGAGAACTGCTTTCACCTGTAAAAAGTAAAGCATGACTCGAGGAGCACTAACCCACTTTCCTGACTCCTGTAGGAACTTTAGGCACAAAGGGTGGGTTCTGGATGACCCATTGACAAATAGGATCTAGAACAAGCTGTCCTTGTCATTTCATGGTCACCCTATGGTTCCAGGGGCTACTACACAGAGTGAGAGTTGATTTCACAATTGACTCAGATTCTCCGTCTCCATAACCCTGAGAACCCTGGGAACCTGGGAGAGGCTATACTGTATATAACCGTTAAGAGCTTTGGTTCAAATCCTGCCTCTGCTGCTCACCAGCTGAGACCTTAGCCAAGTCATATTACCTCTGAGTATCTCTTCTTTCAACTATCAAATGGGGCGCATTGGACACTTTGTGAGGCTAAAATAAGATGTTCAGACTATGGAACACAGGGCCTGATATATTGTAAATAATATGAGCAGCTGTTGTTGTTATTGGTTGATATATCCAGGCATATATGCTTCATGGTATGTATATTGGGTTTTAAATTTGCTTGTGTCCTCCATGCCCACAACTAGCCTGGTCCTAAGTTGAATTTTCATAAATTAGAATGAAGTTCCCATGGTTATGTGAGGTCTTGCCTATTCATTCATTCATTCATTCATTCATTCATTCATTCATTCATTCATTCACAATTGAAGCTGTCCCAAGTAATTCACAGGCCCGTAGGGGAGACCAACCTGAGAACATGTAACTATGATAAGATAATAGTGGCATTAAAAGGTTCCTGGGGACATGGCGGTTAGGGGTGGGGGTGGGATGTTCTTGGCTGCAAGTAGAGGAGCAGAGAAGGAAGGCTAGACAGTGAGTAGGGGTGTGTTCTTGGGTTGGGAAAACCATGAGGAGGGCTTTGCTTTACTGGGAGGCCAAGGAAAGAAGGGTTCTCTTGTTAGGGGTGACCAGTGGGAGCTCTGGGGCCTGACTCAGTGTGGGGGTGGAGAAGAGCACGGATGAGGCTGGAGAGGAGGCCTGCTTAGATGCCCAGGTGTGGGACATGAGGCTGTGGGCGATGGAAAGCCACCAGAAGGTTTAAGGTGGGGGCATCTGCAACTTCAGAAAAATTCCTTTGGCAGGTACCCAAGGAATGGCTTAGAGAGCCAGGAGGTTGGTTAGCCGGGAGGTTGGAACTGAAGTAGGGACTTTGGTGCTAAAGAGAAGGGCTGAGCCAAGAGGTAGAGGAGTTCGAATCAACTGGACCTGGTGACTGACTGGATGTGGGAGGAGGGGGGCGTGTGGGTTCACCGGGACTCTGGTTGCTCTGCCTGCAGGTGGGAGAGGGTGGGAGGAGGCCCTGGCCTGCTGGAGAAGGGACCATGCTTGGCCGGGACAGCCTGGCAGACTCCAACCTCAGCTGTCTGACAGGCAGCTGGATCAGGGGAGAGGTCTGAAAGGTGCCAGAAAGGATGAGGCACAGGAAAGAGGCTCTGTGGAGCGAGGGAATCAGAGGGGACGGCAGCCGGGTGTCATCGTCTCTGGATTCTGAAGTGGGCCCCTCTGAAACTGGAGGAAGTACTCAGCTTTGAGCTCAGAGAGAGGCTCCACCTGGAGATCCTGGCAGGCCTTGGCAAGTTCCCTGTGCATAAGCTGTTGGTCTAATCAGGGCCTGTGTGCCCAGGGCACTCAGGAACTCACTGGTTTCCAGGGTCTGACTGGTGCTGCACGGAAGGTCTCCAAAGGCATTGTTCCCTGTGGGGGTTTGCCTTAAACAGTAGTCTTCCCGCTGAGCTCAGCAGCCTGCAGCCTGTGCACTTGACACACTGGCTCCTCTGAGGGTTTTTTTGTTTGTTTGCTTTTCTAATGGGATTTTTTTTTTTTTTTTTTGCCAAGTTACATAAACAGTGTCAGCACAGAGAGACAGGCTGGGGAAGTCCAGAGCTGCCATCAGAGACTTGGCTAGAGGAGAGACCAGCCTCCTTATTATCTTGGGAAGATCACTGGTGGGTTCCTGGGACAGGCTGGGCCTTTACATCGGATGTCTCAGCTGGCAGGATGGAGAGAAGACAGTACAGGCTGATAAGAGGGAGCCACAGGACCTCTGGACTGGGCCTTGGGCGGGGACTGCCCCTCCCCAGCCGAGGTCCTGCCTCTTCTGTAGGGAGGAGGCTTGGACCAGGGACAGTGGGTGAGCTGGGAAGGGTAGAGCGTAAAGCAAGCTGGAAGCTGGGAGCTGGTCAGTTAAGCAGGGAAAAATGTTTTTCTCGCCCAGAAAAAGTGTGCTCCCTCCTAATAGTCTTAGTCTTTTATTTTTTGTTTTCCCATTTAATAAAAGAACACAGGTACCGAGAAACATTTTCTTTCCATAGTGTTGGGGGCACCAGGGCCATGGGAGCTGTGGACACATGAATAAATGGGCAGCTGCTGCTCAGCCCACTTCTTTGATGAGAGGATTCTGGGCTAGTGTCACTGGATGTTTAAAGTTTTCAAGAAAGCTATGGATCCAGATTGAATGGGCAATCTCCCAATTGGCTTAATTCTTAAAAGTAAACTCTACTGGCCAAGTGAAGTCTGCCTGTGGGCTGGATGAGGCAGGAGCCATGGTTATTGCTCTCTGAGCTAGATGGACCTTGCTGACGTCTTGCCTGGCTGTGGCACTGTGATTTATCACCCAGAGGAGGAGGGGACACTCAACAGGACTGAGTCCTCTCCAGATTCTTCTGACGTGAGGCTGAGTAGCCAGGCCAGGGCCCTTCCCTAGAGTCCACCTTTTATATCAGCACAGTGAAAGCCAGGGTTGGATCTGTAGTTTTGAACCTTTTTTAAGCCACAGAACCTTTGTTTAAGCCAAATCTTATAGGAAAGAAATCACAATGTACACCACAGATAACCAGAGCTCCTCTAGTCCTTGCGAGAGTCTGGAGTCCTGCCCTGAGGCTGCCCTCTGCCCTCCCCTGTGGGGCACCTCTGCCAGGTGCCACAGAACAGTGCAGCGGCTGCCTACCTGCCGGCTGGCGCTCTCCACCCCTGTAGCCTTGGCATTCTGTGGGTTGGATGGGAGGAGGAGAACAGCAAGGCAGAAGGAGAGCAAGCCACAGTGGGGCTGCCCCTCAGCTGGCTGGGGCCTCACCCAAATTCTGCCCAGACTCTGCCCAGGGTGAACAGCCAGCCACTGAGTGCAACTACATTTACTGGGTGCTTTTCATGCATTTTTGCCTCCTCACATTAGCCCTGTAAGGTGTGCGTTGCTATTTCCATTTCACAGGTGGATGAAACAAGACACAGAAAAGGGAAGCAGATTGTCCACAAGGTCACTTGGCTGGAATGTGGGAGCCTAGATTCCACCCAGGCCTGTGAGACTCCAAAGGCTGTGTCCTGCCCTCAGGCCTCCTCCTACTAACTATCCTGCTCCCAGGGGCTATCCTGCTCCCAGGGGCTGTCCTGCACACATGTCCTTCCTGAGTCCCAGCCATCATGGTTCCCATCCCTTGTGTTTCTGTGCTTCAGTTTGCAAAGTCCCTTCAGACATGATCTCATTTTGCTGGTGTCACGCTTGATTCATCTAAGCAGGACTCTTTGTTTTATCACCATGCAGGAAACAGAACCAACTGAGGCCAGAAGTGGGGAGGTGACGAGGAAGCCCAAGGCTGCTGCTCCTTCCACGAACAAGAGGCCCAAGAAAGAGGCCAAGAAGAAGCGTTAGAAGACAAGGCCTGTGGAGCCGGGCAGGAGGGGCGAGAGCCTTGGAGGCAGCCCTCCTGGGACTCCATGTCCTGTTCCTGACTCCGTCCCAGGCTCAGAGACCTGGACAGTGTGACAGCCCCAGGTCCCAGCTGGGCAGACTGCCACTTCCTCTTCCTTCTGCTTCCTTGATGGTTTAGAGCCAGGGGACCTGAAACACCCTGTGAGCAGAGGCTGTCTTAGAAGTCTGTCTGTTCAGAAGTTGGGTCAGATTAGTTATGTTTTCTACTTAATCATGGAGTCCAGCCTTTAGCCAACCCACCTTGTGGATTTACACTACGTTTTAGAGCCATTATCTAATGCTGACAAGCACTGCCCTCCCATTATTTGTGCACCATGGATCTGCTTATCAGTCACCTTTGTCTCCTTTGCTTGTGCAGGTGGAGCCAGGCCTCACCTGTTTTGTTTAGGTCAAGACGCCGCGGCTAGTAGTGCAGCCACCAGGTGTGAAAGGTGCCTGGCGTGAGGGCCAGCAGAAGACCTGGGCCGGGTAATGCCTGGTTCTCCTCTGGCAGATGGAAGAGATTTGGCTGAATGAGTGTGTGTTTCTTGGGCCCGACTTTCTGAGCCTCTGAAATGGGGGGACTGTCACTCTCAGACCAACCTCTTCAACCCATCATAGCACGTTCAAGGGGAGCCTTTTGGCTTCTACCTCTACAATATCCCATGTCTCTCCCCCTACCCCCCAATTCTTTCATCCCCTGAGCAGTGTGGGAAGTTTGGGGGAAGTAAATGTGAATAAACTGCCCCGCATGCTGAGCTCCTGTGTATTGTCTGCTCCTGGGGTCAGGGGGAGCCTGGTTCCTGCCCTGGGGGTAAAGGAATGGCTCACCCCCAGAGAAGTAGGATGTTGTGGCCGAGGATGGCCAGAGCTGGGGCCATTCTGGGACAACTTTTAGGAAGGGTCCAGCCAGCTGTTTTGTGTGGCCCTTAGTCATTGGAAACACTTGTGAATGTCCATGTGTGTGTTAGAGTTTCCACTGGGACCAGGCCCCACTCATTCCCCACTTCCTGCTGCCTGAGGAAGAAGCTGCTTGTCCTCAGAGCGGCTTGAGAAAAACCCAGTCAAAGGCCCTATGTGGTGTGGGGTGGGTCACACAGGTCCAGCCACGTGCCCTGAGTCAGCTGCCAAGGAAAAGCCTCAACCTATAGTAAGTCTTTGCCCAGCTGGTTTACAGTTTGCCAAACACTTTCCCACATGTCATGACTGATGAGGAGGAACTTAGGGGTGAGCGTGTGTCATCTCCGTTTTAGAGAGAGGAGACTGAAATCCTGACTGCTTGAGTGCTGGAACTCAGACTTGGATCCAAGTTCACGGCCCTTTCCTTGGTAAAATATTCGGTGAGTGTCAATAGGCTCAGTGCTCTGAGGGTCCCTACACTGCTACAGTGGGCCTGGCAAGATCCCCCACCTCAGCAGGTCCGACTCCCTTAAATTATCTCCCATAGAGGCTGTTTGCTGGAGAACAGGCCTAGGAAAGCAAGGGTGGTCATCTTCTGCCCCACCCTCCCCCATTCCGTACCTGCTCTGGACAGTTTCTAACATTCAGCTCTTTTGGCTTCTAGGACCCCATCTTCCCTGGTTTTCCTCCAACATCACTGGGTTCCCCTCACCAGCGGGGCCCACATTCAGTCCTTGGTCCTCTTGTCTCTACACCCACTCCGTTGAAGGTCTCATCCAGGCTCATGGCTTTAAGTACCACCTATGGCCCTGCCGGCGTGGCTCAGTGGTTGAGCATCAACCTATGATCCAGGAGATCGAGGTTCCATTCCATGCCCAGGTTGCGGGCTTGATCCCCAGTGGGGGGCATGCAGGAGGCAGCCGATCAATGACTCTCTCATCATTAATGCTTCTCTCTCTTTCTCCCCCTTCCTCTCTCTGAAATCAATAGAGATATATTTAAAAAAATAAATACCACCTATATGTTGATATCTCCCAAACAAATCCCTTCAACCCCTCTCCTAAACTCCAGACTCATGTCTGACTTCCCACTCAGTATGTCCATTGGGATACTTGAGGTGCATCTCAAAGCAAATCCCTGATCTATCACCAGCCATCCCAAGTCCGATCTTTTTTGTGGTCTTCCTCATCTTAAAGAGCATCCTAATTCTTCTAGTTCCTCAGGCCAAAAACTTTGGAGTCATCCTTAACGCCTCTCGTATGGGACACTCCACTTCTGACCCTTTAGTGGTTCCTTGCAACTTGACCTTCAAAACCCAGAATGAGACCTGTATCACCACTTCCCTCTACTGCCGTGGTCCAGCACCATCATCTTGCCCAGATAGTGCAGCAGCCTCCTCACGGATAGGCTGTCCTCGACACAGCAGCCAGAGGGATCTTGTTAAAACCCACAAGATCACGTCCCTCCCCTGCTCCCATCTCACTTAGGTAAAGGCCAATGTCTTCACTGGGACCCATAAGGGCCTGCAAGAGCCACTCCACCTCCTTCACCTTTCTGACCCTGTGAGAGACCACTCCCCCCTTGCCCACTCTACTGCGTCCTCACTGGCCACCATCTTCCTCAAACATGCGAGGCAACTGCTGCCTTAGGGCCTTTGAACTAGCTGTTCCCGCTTTCTCTAGATACTATGCCTCAAGTGGTAGAATAATGGCCCCCAAATCCTCAGGACTGGGGACTATGTCACCTTACATGGCTAAAAGGACTTTGCAGGTATGATAAAATTAAGGATATTGAGATGGGAAGATTATTCTTGATTATCCAGGTGGGCCCAATAAAATCACAAGAAGCCTTATAAGGAAAAGAGGGAGATAGGAAAGTCAAAGGGAAGGAAATGGGATGATGGGAGCATAGGTTGGAGTAATGCAGGACGATGAGCCAAGGAATGTGGGCAGCTCCTAGAAGCTGGAAAAGACAAGGGGATGGGTCTTTCTTAGAGCACTCAGGAGGACAGCTCTGCCTACGCCTTGATTTTAGCCCAGTGAGACCCATTTTGTACTCCTGACCTCAAGAACTGTAAAATATTACATTCGTGTTGTCTTAAGCCATATGTTTGTATAACTTGTTACAGCAGCAATAGGAAATGAATATAGCTCTCTCCCTCAGATTATTCAGGGGAGTCTTCTCAAACCCAATTTAAAATTGTAATCTTTCCCCAACACTTCCTATCCCTCGCCCTTATTCATTTTTCCTCTGAGCATACACCATCATCTAATATACTATGTGTTTTAGTTGTTTTGTCTGTTTTCTTATACCTCAATTGGAACGTGAGCTCTAAGAAGAAAGGAATTTGTTGTTCTTGCTTATAGGTAAATCCCCAAGGCCTAGAATAGTGCCTGGCACATAGTAGATGCTCAGTAAATATTTGTAGCATGGAGGATATTAGGAGAAGGTGGCCTACCCTAACAATGCATATTGTTATGTATTGTTAATAAATATTACATGTGCCCAGGCACTCTGCATGCATGACTCACAGCATGCATGACTCACAGCAACCCCATGAGGTTAGTAACATGATCATCCCCATTTTACAGGTGAGGACATGGGGGTGCCTAGAATTGAACTCAGGCAGCCTGACTCCAGGGCTGACTCAGTCATCCTGCTGTTTCCTCCCTTTCTGCCCTGGAATTCTCAAGGAGGGTTGTCTGCAGGGGAAAAGATTGGATCCAGGTTCTGGAGGCATCACTACCCAAAGGATTAAATCACTAATGGTAAAATTATGCTCTTGGGTGGGGTTTAAAAAAAATCTTACTGAAGTGAAGAAACATAAAGTGAACTATTTAAAGTGTGCAATTTAGCCCTGGCCAGTGTGGCTCAGTTGATTATAGTGTTGACCCACGCACCCAAAGGTTGCTGGTTCAATTCCCTTGTCAGGGCACTGCCCAGGTGGTATATTCGATCCATGGTAGGGGCTGTGCAGGAGGCAGCTGATCAGTGTTTCTTTTTCACATTGATGTTTCTCTCTCCCTCTCCCTCTCTCTCTAAAAATTAATAAAAACATATTTTAAAAAAGTGTACAATTTAGTGGCATTTAGTTCATTCACAATGTTATATAACCACCACCCCTATCTAGTTCCAAGTTAATTTTGTCACCCCTAAAGGAAACCCCATTAAGCAGTTTTTCCCCATTCTTCTCTCTCCTGAGCCCTTGGCAACCATCAATTTACTCTGTCTGTAGGTATAAATTTACCCATTCTGGATATTTTGAATAAATGGAATCACACACAATATGTGACCTTTTATGTTTGGCTAATTTCACTTAGCATGATGTTTCTGAGGTTCATCCATGTTATAGCATGTATATCAGCACTTCATTCCCTTTTATGACTGAGTTCCTGTGTGTGCATGTGTGTGTGTTCTGAAGGCAGCTTGGGGAATGTGATTTTGGAGCCAGGCAGCTACATTTTGCACCTGATTCCATGGCGATGTGGCTGTGTGGCGTTAGGCAAAGGAATTCCCATCTCTGATTTTCAAAGTCCACCAAATGGGGATCATACAACGAACTTGCAGGGCTATTGTAAAAACTAGACACACTGTGTGTATATATGGTGCCTACCGCATAGTAGCAGTTTATAAATGGGAGCAAGGAAAATGAGTATTCGATCAGGGACAAAATTATCATCATTAAAACATGATCTTGGCTTCCTTGGAAGAGGAGCACATCCTTAGCCCCACATCCTGGGAAACCAAAGTTAAGGGTTCCAAGGCTGAGCTCATGCTTGCTTTTGTAGTGGGAGAGCTCTTTGGATTTCTAGTAGATGGTGCCTTCCTGTTATTCAACAGTCCTTCAAATCATGGAGGCTGAAAGCCACATGGCAGCGAAGGGGAGAACTACCTTTAAAAAAAAATTCTAAATAAACTCATGGAAGGAGTTCATTAGTCATCAGGGAAATGCAAATTAAAACCACAATGCGATACCAGAATGACGAAAACAAAAAGGACTGACCACAGCAAATGCTGGGGAGTGTGTGGAGTGCCTGGAACACTCAGGTTGCTGGTGGAAGTGCAAAATGAAACAGCCACTGTAGAAGACCACCTGGGAGTTTCTTTACAAAGTTAGACATCTACCCTATGATCCAGTATTCCGCTCCCAGGTGGTTACCAAGCGAAATGAAAATCCCTATCCGTGGACGTCTTGTACTAAGCTCTAGCTAGAAGGTTGACAGCAGCTTTCATCATAATAGGCAACAACTGGAAATGGCCCGGGTGCTGGTCAGCAGAATGGATACAGTGCAGTGTGTCTGTGCAGTGAAATGCTACACACAGTAAAGCAATGATCTACTCGAACACCCAATAACGGGGATGAATCTCAGAACTATTATTCTGAGGAAAAGAAGCCAAACATGCCCACGAACACAAATGCAATGCGGACTCTCCGGCTCTATTCACAGGCAATTCTCAGTTAGGCACAACTAACCTGGGGTGATAGAAATCAGATCCAGGGTGGTTCCTGCGAGGATTGCCCAGGAGAGGGCCTGAGGAAACTTTCTGAGGTAATTGCGGTGTTCTCTATCTTGATATGCAGTCATCAAAATTGAATGTTTAAGACCTGAGCATTTATTTATGTGTAAATGACACCTTAACAAAAGGTATTCCTGTGGGCCAGGTACTAAGCTCTGTTCTTTGCACACAGTATGCCATTTAACTTGCCCGAATCCCATGAGGTAGATATTATGGCCTCTGCTCTAGAGGTGAGGAAACTCAGAAAGGTTAATGAACTTGCGTCAGGACACACAGCCAGAAAAATGAGATTAGAACCCAGCCCGTAAGACTCCAAAGCCCGTAAGGATCCCTTCTTTTT